CTACATAGCAAGACCCTGTCTCAAAAAGACAAAAAAAAGTTAAGAAAACTATCCAAGTTCAGAAAGCTAGGTAAAGCTCTGACACTTGAATCCCGAAAGTGTCATTCTGGCGCCTCTGGGTTTAACACTATGCCATGCAAAATCCACAGCAACATTATCCCTTATCCACACATGCAAGGGAATAGCCTTCTCTTAGTCTCAGTTACAATTGGGGTCGTCAGCTACAGAGACTAAAGTAGGTAGGAACAAGAGGGGGCAGCTGCCGAGGACCCCTCCTCACCCGGCCTGAGCAGAGCTGACTCTGGAGTCCCAGCAGAGCCAGGCTTGAAGCCAGGCTCCAACTTAGGCCAAATGGGCAAGTGGCTCCACCTTGCTGAGCCTCAGTTTCCTGATCTGCACAGCTTGTCACACAGCACTGCTGGGGAGAAACAAAGTACAGGAAGCACTTTTAGCAGTGCCTGGGTGGCCTTGTCCTGTGTTGGGAAAATGGGAAATAGTGGCAGAGCTGGCCCAGCCCAGACCTCCCACAAGGCTTGGAAATGGGAGATCTTAGAAAAGTGTTTGATACTTTGGATCGCTGAAAATGATAGGATTAAAAATCACGGGAAGGTGTTAGTCCCTGACAAATAAATGGTTTTGAATCCATTACTGAGTCACGAAGGTAATAATAATGATCACTCATACCTCACACAAAGCAACTTACAACTGAAGCACTTTTATATCAACAAATGAACTAGCACTCTAAGAGTGGGGCAAAATAAAGACTATTATCCCTATTTTTAAGGATCAGGAAGCCAGGTGCGATGGTATGTGCCTGCAATTCCAGGATTCAGGAGGTTGAGGCAGGAGGATCATTGCAAGTTCAAGACCAGCCTTGCGCAGTGAGACCTTGTCTCAAAGAAAAAAAATAGGGACCCAGAGATTGTGGCTCATGGGGGGAGGTAACATGAAGGGATCGGAGTTCTTATGGCAGAGTTTTCTCTGTTAAAAATAACCTGCTGGGGTGGGGCTTTAGCTCAGTGGCATAAGCACCTGCCTTGCAAGCAGGCCGTCGTGAGTTCAATCACCGGTACCGATAAAAAAGAAAAAGACAAAAAACAAAACAAACAAACAAACAAACAAAAAAACCCCTGCTGCTTTGCCATGTTGGGACTTAAGAGAGGCAAATGCCAATTCTGCTGGCCACAAGATATTGTCAGCAGGTCAGAGCTGAGTGGTAGTGACCAGATTTGGAGGCTAAGATTCTTGAATGATCTTAACTCAAGACAACCTTTCCTCTCTCTCCTATTTCCCTTGATTAGCTGGTGTATAATCCCTATGCGTTTGGACAGGTCTCCTGGGTTCTCCTGTGGGCACGTGGCTGGCTGCACATCCCTGTTCCTGAGAAGGCCTGATTGACATCTAGCTTCAGCCAATAAGACGTGCGGCAGTGAAATAGATCACTTCTGGTGGAAGCTTTAAAAGTCAGTGCGTGCAGGAAACTTGGCCTGTTTGCTGCCACAGTAAGCATGAAAACACATGTCCACAGGGAATGTTTCTTAACCTGGATCCAGTTTTAGACAATGACATGTGTGACCCGTTTTGGATATGAGTCGTGAGCAAGGATTAATAAATCATGGCTTGTTATGGCAGCATCATCAAACTTGCCTAGTGGATCTATGAATGTTTCTGAGCTAAAATGATGGTCCTGGGAAAAAACTTCCAAGATATGGACATCCAAGACTCTCTCTCATCATTTGTAAATTGGGAGTTCAGCTAAACCCCATGGGTGGTCATTAGTGAGGAGACACACAAGGCTGGAGGCAAACTCGGCACTGGTCTCCCATCAAGCTGTCCATTCCTTGTCACTTTGCCGGACTCATTCTCAGGGACAGGACCACGGGGAGACACGCACCGCAGGAACAAAACTTCCCAAGGCCCCACATCAGGTCTTTCCCTTAGCCAGCTCTGCTCTCTGCCCAAGGGGTTTATGCCCAACCTGCTCCAGAGTCACGAGTGTGTACCTGTGGCATGGCCCCTCCCTCCGTGGCTCAGACCTTCTCAGTTCTTTGCCCCTTGCCTCGTAGGTGGCTCAAAGATCTCAAATTTAAGAACACTTCATGAGTACTGGCTGATACAAGCTTGGAAAACTAATTATTATTCCCTCTTCTATCCAATACCACCAGCTCTTTGGGAACCAAGATCCAGTACCCAGCCCTGCCTGGTGTCAAGCGGCACACGGGACTGAGTGGTTTCATTCTTTTTCCCTCGCACCCTATTCTTTCTGTTCATTCAAACTGAGGAACCTGGTGCCAGTCAGCCAAGACCTCCCAGCCCTGCCTGTGCTCGTCTCCAGCCCTTCCCTGCTCCTCGTTTGTCCGCATGAGAGACATGGACCTGTCACTCCTTCAGAGTCCCCACGCTAATACCACTCCATCTGGAAGCCTTCTTAACTGAGCATCCCTGGTCTCGAGTTCCTGTCTCTAAGGAATCCAGGAGCCCAGAGTGTTTCCTGTGTCAACTATTCCTCTGGGTGAACGCCCCAGGAGTGCTGATGGGGAAACACTCTGCTGATTTTCCATGAGCAGCCTCATTCACTTAAAGGGAATTAATAGGATGAAAAGATTTGTGCACTCCTGGTGACCTGAGCCGTGCTTAGCCGCTGAGCCACTGTTCCCAGCATACTCGGGGATGTCTGTTGGCCCTCTTCTTGGCAAAGACAAGCCTCCTTCCTACTCTGGCTGGAGTGGAGATGCCTATGACAGCAGGAGAAGGGGAGGTCTGTGCAGTTTGGCCAGTGGTGGCCCAGTGCAGAGAGAACACCAAGCACCCGACAGAGAGGACAAGTTAAACCTGAGCGGGAATCCACAGCTAGGTCCTGATCCAGAGCTCCTGGGCACCTCTTTCACTGACCCTGCTCCCCACTGAGTCCCTTCTCACCGTGGAGCTGGCCTGCCACAGGCCCACAGTTAACATCATTTGTCTGGTGCTGAGAGGTCGGCCAGCGGGGGAGGGGCATACAGGAAACAGAGCTGCAGTGAGGGTACAGGGAAGGACAGAGATCCTCCCTCTGGACCAGGGAGAGGGTGGCCAGGTTACTTGAGGCTGCAAGTGGACATCTCGGGCCCTCTGAACAGGGCAACTGTGTTGAAATCCTAGTGGATCCTCTGCTCAACCCAACACTTTTACCAATGGCCTGGTAACCAATGGCTGGATCCCCTTCTGAGATCAACCAGCCCAGATCTTGGGCTGATTGTCATTCCACTTTCGAGGCCATGGGGCCCTAAATTCCCCCAGCTCCTGAAGCTAAGTCTGGGGAGGATGCTCAGAACCTGAATCACCTGCAGGCTGGAAGCCATGGCCTCTCCCATGCCAGAAAGGCAGTGGGGTCTGCAGGTCACCCATGGGGGCATGGTGTCCAGCGTTCCTTGAGCCCTGGACCATCATCTGGGCTGAGAAATGGCCCAACCCCTGGAGATGGATGCTAGCCAAGACTGGATGAGAAGTGCACTGTTGTCACATGACAGGCATTGGGGATCATACCCAGCAATCTCTGGGTCAGGTTCAACCCACAGTCCTCTGTGTATGCACAAGCATGTGCACAATTTACACAATATGCACACTCGCGAACACCTATACTCTTAAATGCCTGCGTACCAGGAATAGAGAGCATTCCATCTATGTGCCTCCAAACACATACACATGCATATATAGTCACACTACAGCCCCTTACCAACTCCTGTGCTTACTTGTACAAGTCACTACCCTCAAGGGACACCCTTCTACACATATGTGCCCCACGCCCCTTCTGTACCCACATGTATCATGTGCACATACCCACCTATGCTCAGCCCCTCACTGCCAACCCAGCCAAGCCTGGTGCCCTTGAACCCTCCACCTGGGAGGACTGTATTTTTCCAGTGCCCTTTGGCCCCTGCCCAGGTCCCATGATCTGGCTGGGTTCACACAGGTAAAGCCAGGGTATGGGCTTAAATCTCAAAGGAAAAAGTGAAGAAGGGCCCTGAATACTGAGAGAGAGAGAGAGAGAGAGAGAGAGAGAGAGAGAGAGAGAGAGAGAGAGAGAGAGACAGAGAGACAGAGAAACAGAGACAGAGACAGAAACTGACAGAGATAGAGATAGAGACTGAGACAGAGAAAGAAAGAGAGAAGGGAGCAGGGATGAGGGATGAGGAATCAGGCAGGCAGGTGCCTGTTGCTCTTCCTAGCAGGCGGGGGAGGGAAGGGAGACTCTGGCTTCCACCCCCCTCCCAAGCCTGTCTGCTGCGGGTGCCAAGCACCAGGACGGAACTATTGGGGCTGCCGCAGGAGATGTTATGACGGGACTTCCAGCGGGGGCTTGATGTGTCAGCAGACACAGGCTGCATCCCATGCCTGGTCCCCTCCCCCTGCCACCTCCCACCACACAGATCCCTCTGTCCAGAACCCCCTTACCTGGCAGGAGCGCAGAGATGTGGGGCTCAGAGAAGAGTGTGCGCTCGCCCAGCGGCTTTGAGACAGTCACGCTGGGCACTCAGAGGGCAGCAGGCGTAAGCCAGGCAGCTGGGGGTGGGCAGCCTGCTGCGCTTCTGATTGCCCTGAGACAGACTGGAGACGATGATGGGCAGGGACGGTGGACACAGGTGGCACGGACAGGAAGCAGAGAGAGAGAGAAAGAGAGAGAGAGACAGAGAGGAGAGAGAGAGAGAGAGAGAGAGAGAGAGAGAGAGAGAGAGAGAGAGACAGAGAGGAGAGAGAGAGAGAGAGAGAGAGAGAGAGAGAGAGAGAGAGAGAGAGAACGAAGGGAGAGAAAGGGAGAGAGAGAGAGAGAGGACAGGACCGGCAGCAGCAACATGTGGTCGTTTTCTCTCACTTCTGAGGCTGAAGCACCCTCAGCCCCTCCCCACAGTGTGTGCACACACACGGTTACAGGCACACACTTTTGTACAAGGGCACAGAAGTCACCACACATGCACACACACGCACAACCCCTGTACTCAGGAGAGCCCAGTGCTGGCCCTTACCTTGCCCCAGAAGCAACATGTGTCTGGCAAATGCTCCCTCTATCTGCCGCAGCGCCTGCCTGCCTGTGCCTGGAGCTGCTGGAGAGGGCGTCCAGGACCAGGCTCCAGTGCCCAAGCCCAGCGCTCACTGCCCTGGTGTTCAGCTTGATCAATGCCCACATTGCGATGGCTGTTTAGGTGGCCTGCAGGAAGCAGAGCCATTTGTTTTGTCAGAGCGTAACCATGACAATCACCCCATGCGCACACCGCTGGTGCTGCCTCCCCCCACCCCTAGCCCTTTCCTCCGCCTTCTCCTGAGCCCAGGAGGAGGCAGGAGGCCACTTTGCAGCCTTTCTGACTCCTAACTCCTGCAGAGTCTGACAGAAACGCCTGATAGAAGGGGCCAGCCTGTGACATCAGGGCTTCGGCAGCCCCTCCCTGGAGAATAGGTCTGCTTCCAGTTGACACAGCCCTGTGCGAGGTTCCTGGGGTCCTGTTCCTGGGAGCTGCCTCCTCCAGATGCCCCTGTTCCCCAGCAAGTTCACTTTTGAGCCAAATTATACAAGCTGTCAATCCATTTTGTCCCCAAAGACCATGATGCAACCAAACAGATGGCTTTGATTTCTGTGGCCCTGGGAACCTTACCTGCCAAGGCCTTTGGTTGTGGATCTGTCCAGCATTAGAGCCCCAGCCCATCACTGGCTGCCCCTGCTCATGCCAAAACCACAAAGGAAATCTCTGCACTTTGTGGTGCAGTTTCTGGAAGTCTAGCTCCTGGGGTAGAGTTGGGCAACCCAGAGGGCCAGGGACTTGACATGATCAAGGATAAATAGCTCTAAAAGCCAAGGGGGCAGCTGGATGGGACTGTAAACCTAAAATTGAAGTCTGGAGATACAGGATGGAGCTAAGGACCTCATGGATCAGAGATACAGGATAGAGCTAAGGACCTCATGCCAACACATCTGAATTCTAAAAACCCCCAAAAGAGGACTCTACCCTGATTTTGTAGAGAAATTATAGTCTAGAGGGGGCAGAGTGACTTGCCTGAGACACATGATCAAAAGAAGAGTCAGGATTCAAACTCACACTTGTCTGATTCCATCCCACCATGGGAGAGGGGTCAGTATTGCCCTGGAGTGCCTAGAAGACCTAAAGGAATTACTTCTCACTTGTTCTATGCTGAACACTGGGAGGTGGATGTTGGACTTAATTCCCAAATGATCTCTCAGAGGTGACGTGACATTCCCAAGGACAGTAGAAGAGACACAATTTACCCAAGTCTGCGTGACTCTACGTCTGCCTCACCATATACCAGGCTGCATCCAGGACAGATGACTTGCTCTGTTTTAGGATCCTCTGCCCAAAGAGGGTGGAGTCGAGGGTACACTAGGGGTGGTGGGTGTTGTGGAGTAAAAAAGCGGAGATGTCACATGGGGTCCAGGAACTTCTTCCTGGGTTAACAGATGACACATGATCTTAGCCAGAAGGCTATAGACCAATGATTCCACAATTAGGGGAGTGCGCCTTTGGCTTCCCAAAGAGTTTAGGCCTCCCCCACCCAGCTCTTCATTAACCATGCAACCTGAATCAGACCGCTGAGAGGGGTGTCCCAGCAAAGGAACTTTGGAGAGCGGTTGGGAGGGATTTAGGTGGCTGCTGGGCAGAAGCAATGGAGCAGGTAGAGAAGAAGGAACTGGGCGTGGAACAAGAGCTTCTCAGAGTTGGCTCTTCGGCCTGGATTATTTCTGAGTGCCTGCTGGGGTGTGAGATAAGGTATCACAGACAGAATGGCCACACTCTAGGTCACATGCTTGTCCTCTGAGGGCTGACAAAGGTACATGGCAAAGATCACTTCTGTTCACCCGCCTGCTGTGAGTCAGGCTTGGGGCAGTTCTTGGAGGAAGTGAGGAAGAGCAGGAGGACAGACTTCCAGGAACTTGGCAACGAGGTTGGGAGCTTCCCATCCAGCTCCTGTTTCGCCTGAGTTCCCTGACGCCTTTCACATGCATTTCTTCCCGCTTCAACACCCAGGGCAGATGTCAGATGTAAGCAGGAAGTGGGGATGGGAGCTGAAAGGTAGGGCTCATTTGAGGTCACAGCCAAGGAGCAGCTGTGCTAGGGTACAAACCCAGTCCCATCTGACGCCCAGGTCCAATGCCTATGCAATAAACCATGCTGCCTCCTGTGACCTAGAGTGTGGCCATGACCCACTGTTTAGCATAGGAGGATCCTGCTTCCCTGCAGGTATGGGGCTGGGGTTTAGAATTCTAGGCATTTCCTGCTGCTCCAGAGCGCTCCATACCTATTTCTTAGCCCCGTAAAGTCAAGATCTCTATGCACTAAGAAGCCCTTCATTCAGGTTCCACATCGACTGGTCATCCTTTCCACTCACTTATTCCAAGTGTGGAATTTGCACTTTAGGACCAAAACTATCTGGGCAAACAATGTCACCTGGCTGAGTGGCCGCATAGCAATGATGAGGCCGTGAGAGGTGACATGAGATGACAGATGTGAGCTGGGCAGGGACAAAAAGCTGGTAACCTGGGCTTATTTTTCAGAGCTGTCTCCTCTTGAAGGCTTTGAAATTTCCACACCCCACTGAATTAATTTCCTGGGGCTACCCAAACCAATGCCCACAGACTGGGTGGATCAGAACAATAGACATTTATTCTCTAGCAGTTGTGGACGTAAGAAGTCTGAAATCGAGGTGTCAGCAGGGCTGTGCTCCCTTCTGAAGCCTCTAGAAGACTCTGTCCCTGCTTCCCCCTTTTCTGGCAGTCCGATCCTTGCCATTCCTTGAATTGGAGCCACGTCACCCCGGTTCTGCCTCTGTTTCCCATGATGGTTTTCTCTTGTGTGTCTCCAAATCTCTATTCCCTTTCTCTGGGAAAGGGAATCCATACTAGGATCCCTTCCTATTGACAAGGGCAGTCATGTTCACGAGTACCAAGGTTTGTCATGTGAACAATCCTTCTTGGGGTGGGGTGGGGGGACAAAATTCAGCCCATGACACCTGTTCAGAGAAAATATGGACATGGGATAAGTTTGACACTCAGAGACCAGGTTGCTGGACTTCTAGAAATTCTAGAACAAGAAAAGAACAGGCAGTGTATTATGGTGTGGACCAAAAGTGGACTCATGCTAGAGTGCTCAGATTCAGACCCTGAATCTCATTCCCTAGCTGGGAGCCTCAAGGAAAACAACTTAAAGCTCTCTGGGCCTCTGTAAAGCAGTAATCCTTTGAAACATTGTCATAACCATGAAGTGAGTTAATATTTGCACAGCGCTTAAGAAATCAGGGCACTTAGTAAGCACCATATGAGTGTTTGTTAAAATAAACTTAAATAGTCCCTAAACCAAAGCCACTGTTTTATAGGTGTGAAAACTGAGATCCAGAAAGAGGAGGTGAGTTCTCCCTCATCCCCTAAGCTGTGTCTGCCTCCTCCCTCGCTCTGGAGAGATTAAATTCCCTTCCTGTTTCTTCTGTAGCTCGCGTGGAGATTGTGTGGAGGGGCAGCAAGAGAGAAGGAGGTGGGTGTGGAGGGGATATGGGGATCCTGAAAGACAGAAGTAGTGGGTTCCTGCCACCTCCAAACACATACCTCTTTCTCCACCCACCCTTCTGTTTGCAGGTTTAGAGGAAGTTGTGTGACTGTCTGCCCACACAAGGAAAACAAATCTCTGAATGTGTAATCAGCGCAGGCTGATTGAGGATCAAGGGCTGGTTCCAGAGATGCAAGCTGCTGGCCAGGTCAGGGCAGGGCTGGTAGAGAGATTCAGGGGGGTCTGGGTGGAGTTTGGGGACCCGGAACACGTTCTTTCTCTGAATAGACCTTGCACCAGAGAGGACTCCTGCCCCAGGCTTGGTTCCAGCAGGGAATAGAGCCAGCTGAGCAGGCTGTGGGGCATAGAGGGGCACAGGTGCAACGTTTGGAGGGAGTTGGGCTGAGAAACATCACATTCCTGGAAAAAAAATAAAAACAGAAACATATTTTTCCTCCTGAACTCCTTTTTTTCTGTACCCTCCTGTTCCAATTCCTCACCTGGGCTGGAAATTGCATCAAAAGCCTCAATCTTTACCCCTCCCTGTATCTGTGGCCTTTGTCATTCACTAATGCAAGTGTGACACAACTAAAGATCTACAAAGCGCTTGCTTGGTTGGGCTTGCTCTCTGAGTCTCTGGCCCTGTTGTTATGACAATATGTCTTGATTGGCCCCCTAGTCCCAGGAGAAATGCAGACTAGGACTAAACTGCCCCAATCAACCCCTCTTGTGTCAGTCTGTCAACTTTAGTGCAGAGCGAGGCCAGCCCAGCCCAGCCCGGCAACTCAGCGGGGCCCAGGCAAGATGGATCAATGCCGAGCTGCTCAGAGTTCTCTAAGAAGAAACAATTTAGGTTTGAGGTCACTGAGTTTGGAGAGATTCGGTACACTGTGTTTTTTGGCCACAGCTAAGGGATACACTGCCGCTTCCAGGCTTTCTAATGCCCTTCAGGTTCATCTTCCTCTCCATCCCCAGCCCAGTCCTAGCCTCCTTATTCAGCCTCATCTTTCTCTGGTGATGATTGTCCCTGTCACCCCTTTCAACCCAGCCCAAATCCTTCAATGACTTCCTCATGGCTTTCTGTGAAAAAATTCCATTTTTTCCCTTCCTTCTTTTTTTAAATGGTACTAGGGATTGAAATTAGGGAGCATGGAACTACATCCTTGGCCCTATTTTCTTCTTTTAAAATTTTGAAACAAGGTCTTGATAAATTGCCCAGACCAGCCTCCACTTTGCAATCCTCCTTCCTCAGCTTCCTGAGTACTATAGTTCTACTTCTTAGCATAGCATTCGAGGCCCTTGATGATCTACCCTGTCTCTCTCTGGCCCTTTTCTTGCCCAGTTTCCCCACCTGAACCTTTCACTCCAGTCACATCGAACTACTTGAAATTCCCTGGTCTTCAAGTTAACTCCTATTCCTGGGATTTGACATGCGTTGAACCCTATCTTGAAGACACACTTCCCCCTCCTCTATCTAGTTACTGTCCATTTGGAACAAAGAACCACAGAAGTCTATGTCCCTGAAGAAATATGACACCTTCCCTCCCCATTAGACCACTTTACAAGGGCCACAGTATCCCATTACATATAGTTGTTGCTCAACTAATAAAACATCGGATGAATAAGTGAATGAAGAATGAATAATCGCGCTTTCTCAAGGGAAGCATCATGTCTAACACATCTGTGTTGGCAATCATGCTGAGCCACACACCGAGTGGACTTCATGAACACTGGTTGAGTAACTGA